TCAATGAGTTGATCAGACATATGCCGCCAGGACCACTGCATATAGACATTTTAGCTGATCGGCTATGACGTTGGAAGGATATTTCTGCCGTTACAAGCACAGTGATTACCAAAAAAAATTTACCGGGTGCTTCGGACAACTTCAATGATCTGGCGTATGGCAAACGATGCAGTTCTGACGGAACTGAGTTTTCCGCGTATAGGGCCCCATAGATAGGCAATAAGGGAAGACTCAGGCCTTGTATTAATTACGTGGCTGGCACAAAGGGGCCAGCAGATCACTTGAATCAACCCGTGGTTCTAGAGAAAACGGAGAATTATATTCTCCCGCACCTTGTGATTCGTTCCTCCGTTTATTAATTAAACACTAGGTACGCCGAGCCCATCACCCCTATCTCGGTAAACGTTCTGGGAATGCCTCTGCAACCAACCTTAATCAACGTATTGGCCACCGCTCAGTATCCTTATCGCATTGGGGAATACCGGCTCCGCGCGAGGTGCCTCTACGAATTCTGTTCTGGAAGCGACAGTACAGTTCCCCATGGCGCGCAGCCGAGAACGGCCGTAACCGCAATATATCGAAAATAGCAGGTTCCACCAGGCGCGGGGTATGGACAGCTCGCGCCAAAGAGTGTGGGACCGCAGTCGCTGCTCTCGTGCGGTCACTGAAGGCTAACGGTAGTCCGGGGTGCCTCTCCCAATCTTGAGCGGTACATGATCGAGTTTAGACAGCGGCAGAGCACATGTAAAAGGGACAGTTTCGCGTTGCTCCCTCTCGCTCAAAGTGGCGAAGTGCGTCGATGCAAACGCAGAAGGTGCTTATTAGCGAGAGGTTTTTGCGTTGGCAACTCACCTACGTTCTGGTAAATTCCTAGTCGGGGGCCCGCGTTGTTCAACGAAGCGCGCTAGAAGGTAGTCTAGGTAAGGAAAAGGACATTACTATGACGGTTCGCGCGACTCGACCCGAAACATACCTATCACGATTTACATGCGAGGTCAGTATTCGGCCGCTGCTACGGTGTACCTCGACACGCTCTACTGTTGGTATACTGGGCCGGAGTCTCTTCTTAATGTTCTTATAAACATTCGCTCTGATAGGTGTTAACGTTAGCGGGTAATGGCGTGCCCATTCGGGGCATACCGCTGGTGCATGGGTGTCTTATCCGGTCCAGACAAACCCACTAGCGATACTGCGAGTGAGTACGGCGGAGTTGGATAGATGACACGAGTGCTGCTTGACGTTGGATACATACCCCGCATATGCATGCATGCCGGACATCAGTTGCCTCATAGGCATCAGTGTGCTTTTAATGGGGCACCTACACCCGTCTTGAGGAAATTCATATGGCAGAGGCTGACGGGACATAACTCCCAACGTGTGTTTATGCCGTGGGAATAGAGAAGACTCGGTGCCCTGGCTTCGGTCGCACCGCCAAAATTCGGGCTCTATGTTTTCAACCTCAGGCGCTCGCTTCTTTTAACAACTAGTGCACTGTAGCTACTCGGGACCCATGTTAACCGTTTCATCCAAATATCTTCAGGCTATCCGGACTATAGGCCCCCATGCTCCTAACTTACCTGCGAATGGGTGGAACGCCGACTATAAGTACAGGCGGTACGCGATAAAGTGAGGGAACAAAAAAATGGGGTATCTTCAGGGGTACCAGAGAGACATGACGACGCCCCGATGTTTACTTTATATCCAGACGGGAGCCGGCCTCATATGAATGGCGTAAGGCACAGTTGGTAGCAAAAGAGCGTAAATTGGTCTTAGTCCAGCTAGTATCCAGCATCTGGTAAGCTTCTCTCGTTGTACCTGTGAAGACTACTAATGTTGCGTAATCTTCAATAAATGTACGTCATCAACCCCGTGCGAAGTTAGGACGGGCAACCCTGTAATAGAGATGCGGTGCCAGGAAACCATCAACATACACGGGTACGAGCCCACTACGTCGGGATCAGCTAGTTTTGTACGCCTCCCGCATAGGGTCACCCATTGCCCCGTCCGCAGACATCTTAGTGCGCAAGCGTATTCCTTAGAGAGCTGTGCCCGCGCGTAGGCGCCCATTACGTCGCTTATCGGACTTAATTTTATGGGTTTGTTATACCAACTCAAATAACGAGGGAGCCCGTATACTTGAAGGAGAAATCTTTCAGCTCTAGTTCAGTATTTCTTCACACAGTCATGTGAGCGGGCACGAATTGACGCGACAACGAGCATACACCACAAAAAACGACTGCCGTAGTAGGAACGTTCCTTCCGATGCAGCTCCCGGGTATCAATCCAAGGTGGAGTGTGGTACAACCGTCCGGAGTGGTTGAAGGGCGTAATGAGAATCTTGAAAGCATGTCTGTGAGCAACATTATGGCAGAGAGGGAATCAACTCTATGATTCCTAAAAATCTGTTTTTAGCGTCAGCGTATCCAAAGTTGCATAGACATCGTCAACTCCGCGACGATAAAGACTGGGACGTGACAATAGCAGTCATTGACTCATCCTGGAATGGTTCACGCTAATTGTTCGTCCCACCTAACTGGCAGCTCCGCGTGCCATTCGAAGCCACTGTACTCCATCCTGGTGTCCGCGTGGTAATCTCACTTGCCGCCAGGATGACAATTCCCGCAATGGAAGAAGGGCTGAAAGTATTGCGGAACTAATACGGTGGTGCCGCATTTCTTCCCATGGGAGCGAAGCCGTACTAACCACAGCTGAACCCCGCACCCTGGCGATTAACCCGTTGAGGCAAGAAATTTACGGTTGAGCATTCCGCGAAGGAGCCCAAGTATCACGTTGGTCATATGCGCAGAAATCACTTGTATGCCGCACCCGCCATGTCAGTGGGTCGAGAGCCTGGCGAGGCCATAGACAATGCGCAGAAAGTAGTCGTAACCCAAATAAGTTGTCACGCCCTTTTGCCTCAGGACCTCATGGGCTCGCCGTGTCGAGCCCTCAAGGCTTTCAAACCTGAGGGGGCATGGTATCAGCAGAGTGAGTGCTGCTCTGGGGAGCGTTAATGCCTCAAGTTACTGGTTGACGGTACGAATCTGTGCTCGGTCCCTCCAACCGACCAGAGCAAAAAAGAGCCGTGTCCCAAACGGAGTCTCACCATGCGACGCACTACTGTGAGCTGAATGTCGTTAAGAATATAAACCAATTCCTAGGCAAAACCGTCGCCAACCATGTAAAAAGGGAGAGACAGGCCGGTTTAATAAGTGACGTAGCCAGATCATTTTACGGTTTGCTGTGAACAGGCCGCGAAATTCCCTCTACGCGCTGATGCGGAGCATGATCCCTACCCTGTTGTCAAAGTGCGCGGTGGTGGAACTATCATTATTAATTCGGAGACCTCGGTGTCAGACAATATGCCTCTTTCTATTCGGGTTGCCGCGCTGCATCACAATTCTGGGCAGGGACACGCCACCATCGCGGGCAAAAGTTCGGTCGATCGGTACTGCGTGCAGTGATCCTTATTTCATCGCGTGCAACTACGCGATTTCATCTTGTAAATTCAAGTGCGATTATTAGCGCTAACGAGGTTGGGTCGGTCCCCCGAAGCTCGATGATTTCGCTGCTTCGACGGAAGCTGTTGACCCGCGAGATTGGTGTCAGGGGTCGCAGCTAAAGTACATGCGAGACCACAGATGGATTGGCCAGGACTCACCAAGGAGAAGTGTGGGCAGTCGTCTACGCTTGGTGGTGGTAAGCGCCAAAGGGGATCTTTCCAAGTTTTGATATTTAGACCTCAACTAAGCGAGGACTAGAAATGAGGGCGCAAGCCAGCCCGTACGCGTGTAGGCGC